ATGTTCCCCAAATTTAAAAAATTAATATTAATTTTACACTTTTCTCATAATTCACTAAATGTCCGCATTATTTTTACGATCATAAACCTTTTACTTAAATTTTCATTCAAAGATTTTTACTTAAAGGATTTTCACTTAAAAGACTTACCATATTTTTTACAATAAAAAGAAAATTCTAAAACCGTGAATGTTCGCATAAAAATACTTTAATTTTTAAACGATTCAATTCTTATGAGGATTGCGTTTTATTATGTAACACTTACTTTTATGAAACTTGAGTGAGTATTCCCTCTCTGATATCTTTTTGAATTTTCCAACCATGTTATAAAAAAAAGTTGAAGTTGCATCTTATGAGCTATTAAATTTAACTTTTTATTACATTTTTCGATTCATTCATAACAAAAAAAACTGAAACGAAAAAAAAGAAAATGTTTTGTAATAAAATTTTTAGATAAGAACAAAAAAAGAAAGTTAATATTTAAGTAGCCATTTTGAATGTCAAAATTACTTCAGTTTCAAGTGTTGTTTGTTGTTATTAAAGTACAAGAATACATTTGTGTTAAATGTTTGTGATTATGCAAGATGTATGTACCTTGTACTAATATTTTATGTTGAGGGATTAAGATGTTGTGAATCGTACAATTTGAGTAACATATTTAGAGTAAGGATTTTTTCGAGAATTTCATTTATTTGTAAAGATTCCTACGGAATTCTATTCGTAATATTCTCGATTCTAGAACCATTTTCCATTAAATTTAGAGAACTTCTTTAAATGAGCATTCTGTATCTTTAAAAAATAAATCATTTAGAATTCTGTTAGAAGTCTTTATGAGTATTGCGAATAAAAAGATGTAAAATATTTGAGATCGAGAAGCGGAAATAAGAAAATCATTAAATTCAATATTTTATACGGATTTTATAACTCTCTTAAATCAAGAATTCTAATTCAAAGGCATTATTTTGTAAGTATGCTATAATTCTTGAGCTTAAAATATTTTATACAATCAACAATATTATTAATGTCGATAATCATTCTTTGTTGCTCTTAAATTTTAATGTTAATAAAATGTTATGTTAAAGGAAATTGAATAAGGATAACAAAAAAAGGGAAAATATTATGTACTACACAATAAATTTATTATTTTGTTTATTAAATACAAATAAAAAAAACATTAACAATAAATTTTTTTAAATTCCAATAAAATTATTTGAAAAGTATATGCGAACAATAAATCAAATAATAATTTTGAATTTAATAGAGAAAATATAAATTATTTTATCACTCCGTTGATTGGAATTGGAATTGGAATTTAATAAGGATTTATTTTAAAAATATAAGTATTATTTAATTGAAATACATAAATACTGCTTTGTTATATCGGTTTTTTATATATATACATATATCATAGTTGTGATATAATGAGATTTCTTATATATGGTTAGACTGTACAAGTTAAACAATATTTAAAAATAATTTAATATTAAATAATGAAATATTGCACTATTAAATTTTTGTGTGAAATTTTATACAACTCGGTCTTACTTATTGCTCTTAATACGAACATAATTAAACTGATGACTTGAAATAATTTGAAATGCAACGATTCTAGGAATGCTCAGTTTAATAATAGTTCGATTTCACTAAAAAAAATAATAATTACATCCTGATGACTGCGATTATTGATATAAAGTGATTGACATTTTTAATTAATTTTTTTTTAAGCACTTTTCCAAAAAAAATTATTCTATTTTAGAATAAATAGCTTATTAGAACAGTCTATCCGTTTGGACGTCCGCCCGTCTGACCGTCGGTCTGTCCGTATGTCTGTTTATATACGCGCTTTAAGATAGAAAACTGAAATTTTATATATAAATTTACTAGAAACTTGTTAAGTAGAAGAAAATTTGTACATTTCTCTTCCCCCTCTAAAAGCTTTAATACTTCAAAGTCGTAAAAATGCCATTTTTTGACTGTTAATTCGAACAAAGCCATAAATACTTTTTAAGTTCTGTCTTTCGTCCTCTTTTTTTTAGGCGATAAGTTGTAGGAGTCTGAAACTGTTGCTGGAAAGAAATTTTTTTCTAACTCGACCTCCTTTCAAATTATCGCCTCTCGAAATTTGTAAAAATTTGAATTTCCGGCCTTCATCTTAAAACTGCAAGCTTTTCCGAATTTTTAAAAATGCAGAACGCTAACGGTAAATTCTGTTCCATAAAAAATATTATTGTTCTTAATTCACTTGCTCAACTGTCTAATTCAACCGTTAGGTTAAAAGTGCTTCCTTACAAATCATTGGTTTAATCCAATTTTACTTCTACTGTTGCTAGTTTTAATTAAAATCTGTAATTAAAAAAAAGGTTGTCTCTAGTGCCCTTATTAAACTATAGTTTGATTTAGGGTGGCTTTTCTGGAATATTCAATTTAAATTCGAAAATTGATTCGCATATCAATAAAAAGCAGACATTTTTGCCTATTCGAATGTTCCTTACATGCAGCATAGTATTGATGAAAATAAAATATAGGTACCTAAGGTTTCTTGAAGAACATAAGGAAAAATTTGCTTTTATGAAACACAAAATATCCGATTTAACTATACGGTCATATACAATCGTATTTCAATTTTACTCTTAGAGAATATTTACTTGTAATTTCTTGTAATTTTATAGCACAATAAAGATAGAACCAAAATCCAGTGAATTTTTATTATAGTGTTTCATTATTGGTTTTTTGTTTCCAAAATCCTTTTAAAATTATTTGTCAAAAAAAAAAAAAACAATTTACTTTTATTTGATATCAAAATAATCGGATTTTATTTGACATCAAAAGTGATTCAGTTAATTAATTTTAAAAACATTGAAAATTATTTTTTAATTAACATTATTTTTGAAAAAGACAAAAAGTGGCATAATTAACATTTTCAAAAAAAAAAAAAACAAGAATTCATTGGAAAAAAAATTTTTATTAAAAAATATCCTTTTTTTGTTACATTGATGCTTTTTAATTTTAATCACTTATTTTTTATTTTTTTTTGTTTTTTATTTTTTAAATATCTTATTATTTTAATTACATTTTAATTTTAATACGATATTCATACATATAGATTTACATTATAATTTGCTGTGTTAAATTTCTTAGAAAAAAATTTTTGTTGCCAAAAAAAAACAAAGGACATTTTTCTTCTCCTTTTTTTTTTTTAAATCTATTCCCTTCAGAAAAATGTAAATGTGTATGTGTTTTTTCTATGTTCTTTTTGATATCCTGTTTGATATAGATGAAATTTTGTTATCATTAATCTATAATATTAATCATCAAAATCTGAATATATTTATTTAGCAGAAAATATTAAACAATTATCGGATAATTAAAAAGGCATATTACATTACTTGTCTTTCATTAAACGTCTTTAGGGGAATGGTTTTGAAAGAAAATTCTTTGAATTTTTTTTATAATTTTCCACTAAAAAAGGGTCTTAAGTTTATATAAAGAATTTTTTAATTTTTCGCAAGGGACAATTAATATTTTTTATACATTTTTCTTTTATTTACAATTAATTAATTTTTAGAAAACACCATAGGGGCATCTCCATTAACTCTATATCATTAGAAATATTGCTCAAATTTTTTTATGATTTCGTACGCAAATCGTTAGAGTTAGTGACACGTTATAGGGTGGTGATTAATATTATTGTTAATTGAAGTAAAATTTTATTTGTCCTTAATCCTGAGCAAAGTTTAAAATGCTTATATTAATATTAAATAGATGTAGAGCGTTCATGTGTTGGGATATTGAGTAGTGTAATGACATAATGATGATGGTATTAATCACGACATTAGTTAACCATCTGACCATCAATTAAAAGTAAAGAAAGAAATTTCTTTAAATTAGTATTTGAATTGAGTTTTTCAAAAAATTACATTGTTATAAAAAAAAATGTATTTGCTATAAATGTATGCTGTCTAATATTTGCAATAATTTCATCATGTTAGCACTCGGTACTAACTAAATAAGTTAAGATGAAAAAATGGTTTTTGTAGCGAATACGTCCAAATAATGGCTTCATGTTTTCTGAGACTATAGCTTATGATTATACAGGATTGTATTATAATTGTATGATTATTCTATGACTTTGGCCCAAAATGTTCTTAAAAGACGAAAAGAACCTTCAAATTGTTAAAGTTTTTAAAATCAAATTAATAAAATCAAATCAATATTTTAAACTAATCGCACTATCATAAGGTCAATGCGATGTGAAATTAAATGATGCAAAGTTATCTTTCATTTGACTTACATATTCATAGTTGTTCCATAATTCCGGAGACATAATGTTCTTTTTTTTTTTTGAAAAAATTTAATATTTCAATTTGTGAAGTAAAAATTCAAAATGAATGTGCTGGTTTTATAGCATTCACGACAAATTTTCATTTTCGAAACAATTTAAAATTTTTTCACTTATTTCAACTATTAATGGTTTGGATGCGAAATGAACTACTCAAAATCAGACTCAGGTAATTTAATATTAAATAAAATTGAAAATGTTTTAGATAATTAATCAATGTAAAAATTTATTTTAGAACTGATATCAGCAGTTTTTTTTTTTTTCAATTTGATAGAAAATGCTTTGAAAAGTGATAATCTAAAGTCATATTGCATAATTTTAGGGGACATATACAGAATGAATGGTTTACTGTTCTGCTATACACCATTTTATAGACCTCTAGTATAAGGAGCAAATTGTTATATTCTAAATTATAAAAAGCAAAACTTTTGAAAGCAATGTTTACCCTTTAATAAGCTCCGAGTCACCGAGACTTCAAGTATACCCAACTGTTTTTTTTTAAGTTAAAATTACAAGTATGTTACTCCGTTCCTGTGTTACATAGTTGCATAAAATAATATAATTTAGAAAATTCAGAAAAGGGTTTAATCAAAATATTTTAAATTTTTTATTTGGCATTAATACCACAGTTTTGTCTGATCTTCTTCTTCTTCTTTAGTAGCTTTAAAGCCCGACGTGAGCCTTAGCTTGATTGACTATCCGCCTCCATTCTGCTCGGTCCGTTACTGCGTTAATTAGGTTGTTAACTTGTAATTTGTTTAAATCGTTTATCACATCGTCTTTCCATCTTAACCTCGGTCTGCCCCTTGATCTGTTGAGTAGGGGCCTTGCGTCATAAATTCTTTTTGGAGCTCTATCAGAGTTCATTCTGAATAAGTGCCCCGCCCAGCGCAGTCTTTGGGATTTTATATATCCAATAATGTCCTCATTGCCAATTAATTCCATCAGTTCCTGGTTCGTTCTAATTTCGTATTCGTCATTTTCGTTTCTTTTCGGCCCAAATATTTTTCGCAACATTTTTCGTTCAAAAACTCTTAGACCATTTATATCACTTTGTGATAATGTCCAAGTTTCGGAACTATAACTTAGAATTGGTCTCAGAATTGTTTTATATATCTGTAATTTACATTGTCTTGATAGTAATCTTGATCCCAATAGATGAGAAATTGTATAGTATGCTCTATTGGCCGTCAATATTTTATGCTTTATGTCTTTGTGGATATCATTATTTGAATTTATTTGTGCACCCAGATATATAAAATTATTCACACCTTCGAAATTGTAGTCATTAATAGTAATATTTTGCGCCACTCTTCTTGTATTTGATCTCGATACTATCATGTACTTTGTTTTATTTTCATTTATTTTCAATCCAATTCTTCGAGTCTGTTGATCAAGCCTTGTAAATATTTCAATTAAATCACGTTTACTTCTTGACATTATGGCGATATCATCAGCGTAAGCATAAATCTGGTAGGGCCTCGTAAATATATTACCTTCGATATGTAGGTCCCTTAGCGCGTAGTGTAAGGTCAGGTTAAATATGATGGTTGATATTTCGTCTCCTTGTTTAACTCCAGATGTGATGTCAAATATATTTGTACAAGATTTTTGTACCAAAACTTTTGCTTTTGTGTTATGCAGTGTCATCATTATTAAATTCGTCAGTTTTTTAGGTATTCTCAATTCGTCAAAAATATTTTCTATTATACCACGTTTTACCGAGTCAAAAGCTTGTTTAAAATCTATAAATAGCATATGCAAGTCCATGTTAAATTCAGCGCACTTTTCCATTGTTTGTCTTATACTAAATATTTGGTCAATGGTTGATTTGTTTGGCCGGAAACCGCATTGATAGTCTGGGATTATTTGCTCTGCGTAGATTGTCAATTTTTCGGCAATTACCTTTGCTAATATCTTATAAGCAGTATTTAATAGCGTTATTCCTCTATAATTTGAACAGTCCGTTTTAGCCCCTTTTTTATGAATTGGTAAAATTATACCAATATTCCATTCACTGGGTATCTGTTCATCATTCCATATTTTAATGATAATTTTATATATTCTTCTATATAGTGTGTCATCGGCTGATTTTATAATTTCTGCAGTGATACTATCTTGTCCGGATGATTTATTATTTTTAAGTTTTTGTATTGCGCTAATAATATTTTCATAAGATGGTTCTTCAATTTCATTTAGAGCTTGCACTTCAGGTATATTATTTGTGTGTTCTATGTTTATTTCGTCATCATCATTTGGGTTTAGCATGTCCTTAAAATATTCTTCCCATCTGTTTAATATTTCCATTTCTTCAGACAACATTATTCCATTTTTATTTTTTATATTCGTCAATTTAGGCTGAAAGGCTCGTCTTTCTTGTTTACACTTTTTATAAAACCTTTTAGTTTCTTTTTCATTGAAGTCATTTTGTATTTGTATGAATCTATTTCTTATTGACTCTCTCTTTTTTCGTCTGCATATTTTACTAGCTATTTTTCTCTTTGAATTATATTCATTTTGTGCCGCTCTAGTTTTTCTTTGCATCCATGCAACTCTCGCATCATTTTTTTCCTTTATAGCTCTCTCGCAATCTGCGTCAAACCAATCTTCATTTCGTCTATGTTGTTTTTCACCTATAACATCTTCGGTAGCTTGTATAATAGCGTCTTTGGTATTATTCCACATTTCGTCAACATTTTCTTCAACTGCATTAGATTCAATAGATTCAATAAAATTATTTAATACGCATTTATATCTTTCTTTGTAGGCTTCATTCTTTAATTTATCAATATCCCATTTCTTTTGTCGTGTTCTAGCCACTCGTCCACATTTACTTATTCTATGTTTATATTTTACTACCGTTATGTAGTGGTCACTATCACAGTTGGGTGTTCTATATACTCTAATATCTTCACACGACGATATTCTTCTTTTATTTATCAGGATGTGATCAATTTGGTTTGTATTACTCGTCCCAGGGATTTTCCACGTACCTTTATGAATTTTCTTGTGGTTAAAGTATGTACTCATAATATAAGTATTTGTGCTTTCAGCTAATTGGCAAAGTCGAAGCCCATTTGGTGATGTTTCTTCATGTAATGTATGACGGCCTGCCACATTTCCTAGAAAATCTTCTTTACCAATTTTCGCATTCAGGTCCCCCATAATCATTAAGGTGTCATATTTATTTACTCTTCCACAAACGTCTTCTAATTTATTATAAAAAACATCTTTATTAATTTCTTCGTCATCTTCAGTGGGTGCATAAACACTAATTAGAGTCAGATTATTGAATTTTCCTTTTAGTCTTATTTTACATATACGTTCATTTATTGGGGTGAATCCGAGTATCTTATCTTTGAATTTTTTGCTTACCCAAAAGCCCACACCCGCATGTCCTTGTTTGTCATCTTTTCCTGAGTAATACAAATCAAAATTTCTTTTCTCTATTTTGCCTTGATTTTTGAATCTCATTTCTTGCAGCGCAACTACGTCAAATTTGAACCTTTCTAGTTCCTGAGCGACTTCCATCATTTTACCAGGCTGCAATAGAGTCCTTATATTCCATGAGCCTAGTCGTATTTTTAATCGTTGTTCATAATCGTAATCCATATTTCGTTCCGAGGGTCTGTATCCATTTGTTCCATTTGAATTTATCCGAGGCATGTAGTCTTCTTCCATGACAATTTATTTCACTAGGTGGGTTGTCAACCCTACGCTAGCTAGATCATGAATTTAAACCCCCAAGATCAGGGTGATCCAGTTATACCCCTGGACGCTGGGTCGCCATGTCCTCGTCTGCGTTAACAGGGTTCACCACGTGTAGGTGAGGCTGGCAATTTGAGCAGGAGAGGCTTTATATTGCGCTTCACTTCCCATTTGAACCCCTTTGTCTGATCTTAGTCATTTAAAATTCTTGTATAAACTGAGCTTTAATTTTCATATTTTATATTTTCTATTCAGGTCTATAGTTTGGGAGATTTGCCACTTTTATTCTCACTTTTATTCTCATAATGACTGAAAAAAATTTACATTCAACTATTTGAAATGGTGTCTTAAATATTGTATAGTAGTTCTACGGTTTACCTAATAGTATATTGCAATTTGAAAGCCCAGGCCATTTTTAATAATTGCCATTATTTTTCTTTGTTTGAAAATAAACCTTTTGTATTGATAAATTGAAACCAAAAGCACATTTAAAATTTTTAGATTTTAATGGCACTTAAATTATATAACGAATCCTTTAGAATTATTAACAATCAACATTGTAAAACACTATCTAAAAGAGTATAACACTTTTATTTATATTATTAATAATTAAAAAACCTCATTCATTGTTAATAATAAAAGTCTTAAAATCCTCATTTTCAAAATGAAAAATGGTTTAAGTAGAAAGATCTACTTAAAAAGCAAAATTCGCATGAGTAATGATGAAAAGATGTGTAATGGATGAAAATGGAGAATATACGCTTTTATCTTATTGTCTTTTTTGTTATTTTTGCATATTTAAAGGTTTATTTAAGAAATATTTTCTAAATTTTTTTTGTTTTAGTACACAGGTATGTACTCGTATACGTAAATGTATGAATTTAGATTGAGTAATATATGTGTGTGTGTGTGTCTTTATTATGCATAATATTATTATATAACAAAGTATGAATCTATTAAAATAATCAATTTTTTCCATTATAATAAATTTTAATGTGACATTTGACATACACATAACATAGTGAAAATTCTATGAATATATAAAAAAAAAAAGAAATATTACACAAAAAGGCACTTTAAATTTTTTTTTTTAAATAATATTGGCGTGTTATAAATTTGTAATGAATTTTCTATAAAAAAAAAAATAAAAATGTCATAATTAAAATATTAGTTGTTAAATTCCAATAAAATTAGTGCATTAAGTAGAGAAGCTTAGTGCTATACCAATTTTATCAATGTCCATAAATTGCCCCTTTTCAAAATTTACATGATTCAATTCTCATTTTAAAACATGCAAACAATTTCAATTTGAAAATTGTAGTTCAATTAAAGTTGCATTAAGGAACGTTTGCATATTTTAATTACATAGGACAAAATATTCAATTTCCAGTAATTTATTTAATATTAAAGAAAATTTTGAATTGAATTTATGTGATTAAAATGAAAACATTGTTCACTTAAGTTATTTTAATTAATCAGACTGCTAATTAATTAAAATTTATAATTAAATAAACAATGAGTGAAGAAAATGTCAAATCAATTTTTTGCGATTAACAATTATTACAAATAATCGAAAAATACCATGGAAACTGAGATGTCAATAATTATTTTTACTATATTTGCAGATTGTCAATAATTGAATCCGTTACGATATTTATACAGTATAAGAATTTACTAGAAGCCCATAGTACGAATCAAACTAAGTTCAAATACCTTCGAAAATAGTGAAACAAAATTAAGGCATGAATGTGTATATTACGCAAGGCATGATTAATTTATTTAATATAGGAAGGAAAATTTACAATTATGATTGCCATTAACTCGTAAAATATAAAAATTTATTTCCGTATACCGGCCTAGCAATAGTCATTGTATAGTTTGTTTGACATGGTCTTGAATTATGTATTACAAACTATAAAAATATATGGCAGCACTGTACGTCTTCTCGTTTTATTTTAGAACTTGTATAAGTTTCATGAAAAGTATGTTTAATACACGAAGCTCTGGAAGAATACATTCAAATTGAAATCAAGCTATAGTGTACATAAATAGTATGGGTGGATTACAATATTAATGATAGATACCAACTTTCTAGTAATACCTGCTCTAACACAAAATTTTGAATTGAAAAACTTCATTTTAACTGAAAAACTGAATTATCTATTACGTTTGCGTATTCTCTTTATATAAGTTATTCTTTTTATCATAAATTTCGCTATACAGTTTGTAAGTATAATCTAAAATTTTCTATATTAGCAGTGTTTCAAAAGATGTCCGATATTGGCAGCAACTCTTTAGATTTCTACTTGTACCTATAACTGTTTAGTGTTCTATTTATATAAAATCTTGCACTGAAATTTTTGAAATTAAAATAGAGATAAAATAAAATGAGATTTTTCAGTTCTTTGTTCAAAAAAAAATTTAATAATTTTGAAATTTAAATGCAAAGAATTTAATATTATAAAAAAAAATTCATGCTCTTTTTTTTTATTTCATTAATTAAAAGAAAAAAACTTTTTAAAGACTGAATCTAATTTAACGTACATATAGATTTTCCCGAGTTCTAAATTAATTATGTTATTCAGTGTACATGTATTTCTCTTTTGATATCTAATTAACAATGAATAAATTAAAAATGTTCCGTGACTTTGATTTTCATATTTCTTAAGTGTAGAGCAAATTATTACTTTTCCTTGAAAAGGACATGTACCTGCATTAATTGAAATTTCACTAAACTATGTGTTTGTTTTTTTGAAAATTTTTGTAATTTCACTACAGTTCTTCAGAGAAATTTCGAAAAGAATAGTTTTTTTTTTCACAAAATTCATAAATAATTGATTTTGTGAAAAATTTAGCAAAAGAATGTTATAACATAATTTTTAAAATGAGCAGCGAATTCGTAAATCACAAGAATTTTTCGGTTTTGCAGAAAGTCAGGTTTGAATTTCTTATCAATTGCTATGAATTGCTAATCTGTCTCCTCTTAATTCTCATTTACAGAGTCTCTCATTTTTTCGTTTTTCCTCCCTTTTTATAAATCCAAAACACTTAAAATGTTAAATTAAAAAATTATTTTTTGACGTTTTTCAATTTAAAATCACACTAAAAAAAAAAAAAACAAGAGAACATAAAAATTTCAATAAAATTTCTTTTTTCATTTTGTGCATGTAATTGTGTCTAGTCTCTTAATGTCAAATATTTCGACAACGGTGTACTATTGTCATTCAAATATTTTGTTTCTCGTGTACTGTTTCTTTAAGCTGTTTCTGACTTAAAATTATTTTTGAACAATAATCGATTTTCATGAAATCTAAAAACAGAAATTGTAATTTACGAATTATTTATTCACTTTACTTAAGAATTTTTTTTTTCGGATTTATTTATAATTTATAACATAAAAATTTTATTTTTAGATAAAATCAAGCACATATTATTATATTTTTTGCATATCGATGTACAAACATACATATACGTATTAGTTATAATCGATTATTTTAGCATAAAAACGAAAACAATAAAGCCCAAAGTAATAAAGAACAAAAAGTCAAACAGCAAAAATGAATACCTATTTGGGGTTTATTTATAAAATTTCGTAAATGTATGGTACTCAAATAATATGTTGTCCTTTATCTATACAATTACTCATAGAAAATAATTATAGAAAAAATTAAAAGGTAGAAAAAATAACAGAATGTGGGCAGGATTTCTTTCCAGAAATATGAAAAGTAGAGTACCTATATAAAGTTTGAACAGAAATTGTAATGAGCAGTTACTTGTGTCTGCTGCAGTCTACATCAAGAAGGGAATCTAAGATGATACAAAAGAGAAAAAAGAAAGGATACAGAAATTACAATAATATATGGAAAATGGGCTTTTTACGGATCACTACGGATCTGACGAATGTAAATGCCAGGGCCTTAACCGATTTCTGATAAGCTCGGACTGGTTCCCGGGGAGGCGGGAGATTTTGTAGATTCGGCGGTATCATAATGGGCCATACTGACTTATGTGTCCCCATACAGATTTTACGGTAGCCGCCTCGACCTAACTTAATCTATCCTATATTTCAAATAATAATTAAGTTAAAATTAAGTTGCGGCAATTATAGCAAGATAAAATATCTATTCAATTGTATTTTATTTAAGTGGTGACAAAATTTAGCGGACTCGACAAGTCTTAAAATCACATAAAAATATCTAAATACAAAACAAATCCCAAAAAACTTCATCATAATACGCTACTGCTTTTTAATTAACCAAAAAATCGATATTATTTTATAAATATACCGTATACGAGTATACTAGATAAAAATTTTTTCTTTTTGTTTTTTCATTCTGACTTTTTATTATTATTTGTTAGAAAGGTCTTGAATTTTTTCACTTTTATAAGTATAACATGTAATTATGTATTCGAATGTGTGAATATACTATTATAATATAAGATTTTATCAATTCATTGCAATGGTGCGGTCTTACAACCGCAGACAAAAATTCATTTTGCAAATAATGAGAAAAGTTAAATCTATAGAAAATCAAAAAAAGTTAATTACATTCTCAATATAATGTCAAACACATTAAGAAGATTTCATTATTGCGTCCAGAGATGTGTGGTTATTATTATTTGCATTTTGATTTTATAAAATTTTTTACTTGATTTATTAAGAATTTATTTTTATCTTTTTGTTGCGACAAAGTTATTGAATCGCTGTTAAAATTTCCGATTATTAAATTAAATTTTTAAATATTTTCAATATTAATTCTCAATTTTCTAAATCAAGCGCAAAATAAACTCATACAGATCTTTAAATCGTTTTAAGAATCACTCAATTATGTATAAGATGAAACTAAAAATAAAATCAATAAATACAATATCGAACTAAGACAATATTGTAATTATGTCACCATTTCTGGTTCAGCAAATTATAAAATATTTATAAGCGAATCTAAAACGGAAATTCTGATAAAAACAAGTAA